CGTATATATCAATGGCACTCACCAAGTGACGTCTCTTGCCGGGATGATTGACTTTTTCACGCATCCCATTGTTTTTCTCGTTGTAATTTCGCATGATTTTTGTGTCGTTATCGTTGTTATTCTTTCTTGAAGACAGGAATGATTGCCTGCCTTAGCGTTTCGTTTACCCGAAGCATGCTTTTCTTAGATGTATTGGTGCCTGCGGAACGTGCGAGGTTACGGGAGAGATACATCATTTTCATCAATTTTATTCGGTGATGCGAATGCGTCTTATTTTTTTTTTTTATATTATATTTTTATTGTATTTAATATGATTCTTTGATACATTTTTCAATAGTAATTGACAGGCATTGTTCTATAGTTAATACATATATTAAAGCTTTTTTTCATATACAGATCGATATTTATCTCGCGAACGATTTTGTCGCATTGCGCTTTACATTCGGCTTGTACACGATTTTCGTTTGCTCAGAAATAAAATGTAAAAAGGAGAGCAAAATGTAACAGCGTAAAGCGACAAACTGCGAAGTAGCTTCGTGGAATAGGACGTTGTAGTTGTATAAAGCGCAGTCGGGTAGACTCTTTTCGCACGAAGCAATTTTCAGTGATGCTACGTGTGTCTGTGGAAAATTGTTTGAAAGTAGAGGACTATAGAGGATATAAATGAGAACTTTCAGACAGTGAGCCGTATCAAGTGCACAGCGATGCAACCTGAAACTGATTCGTGCAAAAAGGCGCTTATTAGATCGTCGCATTTAATGTTTGGTCGTGTATACCAATGTTGTTTCACTGAACTTGAGTGATCGAAGATATATTAGTACCGGCATGCGTCTGCCGTAAAAAAAAAAAAAAAAAAAAAAAGAATGACATTTTACGTTTATATGTATATCTTGGTTTGTTAATTTCTCCATCTTTCGATTTCTTGGCAAAACCTTATCGAAAGGCAGCCAAGCGACGAGCGATGATATCACATAGATCATTAAAGTCTTACGATAATTATTGCATATTCTTTAATTTTGGATATTAGTATTATATTTGCGAACGAATAGTTGTTACACAAATAATTCAACTTGTGCCTGGACGTTTTTTTTTCATCTCTTAATTTACCACTGAAAACATGGAAATTTTCAGGATGATATAGTTTTACACAAAGTTACGTTTGTTCGCAGACACAGACAGCTTTGGCATGTGTGAATGTATTTTGATTAACGCAAGCATTTCAAGATTTCGAGTTTACTTTTTTATATATATTTATATCACTTACAATATTACACAGGTGATCACATGCCGATTGTTAGGTACGTTTTTTTACTTCAATTTAATTTCCAATATCGGGAATAATTTTGTTCTCGCGATACGAGGAGAATTCGGTCTCCAAACTTGAAAGAGCGACGAGAAGAAGGAGAGGGAGAGATCTTGGAGTGATCAAAGTCAAATGTCTATTGTGTACATCCCGTGTCTTTCCTTTGCCGCGTACCTTCACTCGGTTAACATCGAATTGGTTTTTTTTCTCGTTTGTTCGCCCACAGTCGCGCGCCTTTTCCACTTTTCGTATTCTCGCCCTTTTTCCTATACTTTTGCATGTATCCGCTCTCTTTGTCTCTCTTCTTCTTCCTCATCCCATATATATATATATATATATATATATATATCTCTCTCTCTCTCTCTCTTTTTCTCTCTGCCTCCAACACGAACTCTAGTCGAGGCAATAAGATGAGAGTACGAGAGTACGCCACCTGTTTCCAAGTGTTATGAGACTTTCGGTCACGCCTGTGTCTCTTCACGTACACTTGGTAACTACATATGTAACACACAGCGCGGACACGGGAACGCCGCACATTTAGAACCTCCCGCAACCTTCGCTGCACCTCCGTTAACACCAACTTCCGCCCATCTACCCCATCGTCACCGCACTTTACTCCCGTAGTAGAATTTCCGAGATTATGTTGTGTGTGCGCCCCAGAAACCTCCCTTGTGACCGGAACTTTCTACTTCGGACGTAATCACTGCCAACTGTTCCGGCAAGATTCTTGATTAACACTTTTGTTGGCAATCGTCTCACGCGCCGATCAGAGATTCTTTTTTTCTTTTTTTTCTTTCGTTTTTCCTTCTCTTTTTCCGTTTATGTCGATATATAATATCTTCTTTTAATTTAATTTCGAGAAATATTTGTCGGCTAGAAATTCGACATGTGTATAATGGAAACGTTGAAGGTTCGTATGTGTGTGTGTGTGTGCGCGCGCGCGCACGTGCGTGTCTATGTGTACCGTGTCTTTAAACGCAGGTAAGACTTCCGAGTTTAAGATGTCGCGCACGCACAGCTGTTCTCGTAACATTCAGTGAAGTCGTACTACCGGGGGAGTGCAAGAAGTATCGATCGTCGCGCAGTTGTAACCAGCTGTGCGCACGTATTTATCGCCGACGTCTAAAATCTTGAGCCTGATTTATTCTCCGCGAGAGATATACCGCGTATATCCCTTGAGAGATCACACTTAGCAATTTTTTTCTATTTATCACGTCGTATAACCAGTTTGCAGCGAGATCATTTCGACGACAACACAACGCTAAGTTAACACTAAGTTTTAGCAGCAGCAGCCATTTTTCTTATCGCAAGCAACTCGATCGTAATTTCCTTTCAAAGACACACACACACACACACACACATATATATATAATCTACTTTTAACTTTTTAATAACTTTCCACGAAGGATGTCATATACGTTTCATATAAACGTTTTGTCCCTCGCGACTTTGTCTCTGATATATTATATTTTATGTTTATTTACGTCTCGCCTCGCGTCACACTATCAAGAAACAATTTCGAGATAATCGCGAGCTCTCTTTCTCTCTCTCTCTCTCTCTCGAGAATTCTCGTTCATCCTCGTAACGTTTCCGCGGAAGGTTGAATTTTTCGACGAGAACGCTTCCATTCGCGCGCTTTGCCGTTATCTCGGTGTACCACTTACACAATGGGGGCATTTATCCATCGACTTTCCCCGCGTATATAAGTTACCGCGTGGCGCCATCGTATAGCGATAGTAATACGCTTCTCTCTTCTGTATGAACTACCGTAATGCCGAATGGAACAAAGCGTAGCAGCGGCAGCGAACGGATGGAGAAACTTAATCTTCCGGCGAACGCGTTCCGCAATGTAATGAATGCGAATAATACAGAAACGGTAAAAGGTACTCTCCCCAGTTATCAGGGTCTCTTATCGCGGTCGCCTGTAAATTAGAAACTTGTTGTATTACCGGCCTGTTTACGTATAGCAGATCGCATTGGGAGGGTAAAGGAAACCAAAAAAAAATCGTTTTCGCGAAATAACGAAATGCGATAAATGCGCAAATCGCCGATATATCGAGAAGACCTGGATACACAGGTATCTTTTTGGGTATACAACATCTCCCTTTCATATATATGTATATATATGTGTACGTTCTTTTTTCCTCCCTATTTTTACACGCGACATTCATAGCGATATTCATCTTTGATAGAGAGCGAGCGATGATCGTTTTACCGCGCGGATCGGTAGGAAAAAAATAAACTTTCCGGACGTACGTTTCGGAAATAAAGGACACGATTTATTATGCAATATTTCGCGTTCGCATATACGATCCGGTTCTATAACCGTATGTAAACTGCCGGCGTGGTAGGGAGTAGTATATCACTCGTTTACTACATTTTTTTACGCGCGAAAGAGTAATTAGAACGGCGCGCGATGCCTTTGCATCGCCAAACCGCGAGAGGAGGGAAGAGATTATCGATTCAACAATTCCGCAAAACTATACGGATGAAAACAAAAAAAAAAAAAAAAACAGACGTGTACGTACGTGGATGCACATCCCGTTGCATTCTCGATACGATGCTATACAATATCGGCGAGATGAATGTTCTAAAATAATCATCCGCGTCTTCACATTTTCGCGCTTTCTCGTTTCGACGCGAACAACTCGTTGAAATATGATGATTAATTTAGTCCGCGTCCGAATTGAAAATTACGGGATCTCTCGAAATATGTATTTTGACGCGACGAGTCGCGCGACGATCGATGTATAATAAACACACGCGTTACTCCTCCGCTTACCATATATGATTCACGCTTTATTCCGCCCGGCACTTTTGTCGCGTCCGATTAAAGACTCGATCGCACGAGGTCGCACGATCGAGCGGGTCGGATTTTGAGAGCTAGTTTAAACGCGATTGGTTTGCGGTTGGCTATTCGTCAGTCGATAGCGCGCTCTCGATAGCGGCTAATCGCGGACGAAAAGCGGGTGCAAACTTTATTTCGCGCTCGATGGCCACCACAATGCAACACCTCCCTTCCCACTTTCAACCTGTCCCACCATCATTCTCGTCCCACGCAATCCCGCGCGTACCCTCCTACTGGCAACCGGCCGTGAAAAAAGGTATAAAGCAGACTGCTGCGTATCTCTACAGGGGTGTCAAACGGGAATATTTTTGTTTTCGGATCCGATCCGCGGAGTTACGGGAAAACGTTTGCAATTATAAGCAAATACCCGCGATGCATCCATCCATCGATCGCGATGACTGCCGCTTTCGAATCGGACGCTTAGAGCCCGACTACTGTCCTATATATATATATAGTCGTGCATTTTCGAGATTTGTTTTATCGCTTTTATTTTTCACACGAATATATATGTTTACACACACACACACACACACATACGCATATACACACGAGAGAGATACCGTAGAATCTTTATGATACGATGGAACGAGTGGAGAGAAGTATACGGGAAAAATATCGACACCGATTTATCGTCGCAACAAACAACAACTCGACGTGAAAGAAGGGATATCGACGATCAAATCGCGTTGACACGCGCGTTTGACACCCCGAGATAGTCGATTCTCTTCACCTTTCTCGCCCTCATGTGATATCTACTGTAACATACGTCTGTCACTCATTAAAAGTTCAGTAGTTGTTTCTTTTTGTTCTTCTATGATTTCTTATGATTTATATATGTTTTTGTTACAGGGGTCCCGCGAACATTTTCGGCTAGGCCTTACCGAGGAGGTTGGTTCGTTTGTTTGGTTTGCAATTAGGATTAGTCAGTAGATTTTTTTCTCTAAAAGCCCTAGTCCTTCTCCTTTTTCTTTCTTCTCTTCTCTCACGCGTATAGATTTCGCTTTTACATACATATATATAATATATACTCGTCTATCTCTTTCCCCTGTATTCTTACTACTCTTCTATCTATCTATCTCTCTCACTCTCTCTCTCTCTCTCTATATATATATACATATCTCTATATCTATCTATATATATTTCTCTATCTTTCTCACTATCTACCTTTCCCTTTATTCTCTTGATGCCTCGATCGTCGCTCGACTAACCATGCTAACACCAATCACCACCTTTGATCGTTACTAATCGTAGCATATATATCTATACATACGTACATGCAGACTCGATCCTTGCATATGTGTACTTAGACTCACACGTATCAAGTTGTATGTATACGCATATATATGGATATGTGTATATCCGATTGAATATATATATCGATTGATTTTTCGTATCAAGCAGTGTGTGTGACGCCACCACCACTCCGACTCGATTGACACCGATTGACTTGTCTTCTCTTTTTTTTTCTTTTTTTTTTTTTTTTTTTCTTTCTTTAATTTTTTGATCGAAGATTCGTACATCTCTAGCTTTAGTTGATCGATGTTTAGATATGTGATGAATTACGTCCTTATATCTGTGCGTGCCTTGTCAATGCGCGCGTCTCCCTCCCCCTCTCTCCCCTTTTGTGTATGTACGTGTTCGTGTCGTTGCGTAGGGATGACCCGTAAATCCCGTCTGTTTGATCGTTCCATTTACTGATACTCGATATTTAGCTGTAATGATGAACATTAGATAGCCGATTGGATATTTAGTTTTAATGTTTCTCTCGAGAACGAGACTGTGCACCAATTATTATACCAAAGAGACGATACACTTTTGTCCGTATGCTGCTTTTGAAATCATTCCATTGAACGAATTCATTTATTTACCTCTCTCCACCTGTGTGTCTCTGGATTGAGATACTACTACTCGAGAGACGCGACTTTAACGAGCTCGCCGCCTAAACATTTTTATCATAATGCATGAGAACTAATATTTTATTCATCAGGTGTCGAATGAACTGTGGTGAAGCTCGGTGAAGAGGGAACGGCCGACTTCTACTACACCCTGTTTGCGGTAAGATACGCGATCATGATAATGGAAAACTTTCAATTTTTTGTATATTGCGCTTGGTTAACGAATAATACTATATAGCGTGACGATTCTCTCTCTCGCGCATCCGATATAATGCTTTCTTTACGAAAGAAAGTCTGATTTTTCACGAGGAGAGATCGCGTGCATTAGTATATAGCAAAATAATACCGTATTCTTATCAATCGAGCGACGTAATGAAAAAACTTTAAATTTTTTTCATCTTACATATTTTTCATGCGAATTTACAGATCCAAGATTGCTCGAACAATTTTTCCCGGATTAATTAATCGTAAAAGTTGTTCTCGCGATAATCGATTTTAATGAACGACTCTCGGATGATGCCTGTCGATCGCATGAAATGACTGAACGGATTAATGATCTAGACTCGCACTAAGTAAGCCGATACCGCAATTTTCGAGTCGCCTTCGAAAAATATCGATAAAAAGTCGCGCAGCGGAAACAAAAAGGGAAAAAACAGCGAGTTTTTTGCTTTTACCGGATTGACGTCTCGAGCGTCGAATCTCGTCGTCGTCTCGGAAGTCGAGAACGGGATCTACGACATCCCGTCGATGGCGACGTCGACGAAAACGTTCGACGATGATGTGAGCTCGACGACGTCCCTTGCAACAACGGTGTTTCCGTGATGCAGCCAGAATTTGATCGCGCGTAAGAGACGCAAAGTGTTTCACCTCTGTTTGGAGAAAAGATTCAAAGCTTTCTCTCCCGCTTTAAATGAAACGTACGAGATATTGTCCGAACGCGCAATTTTTTCGCGGTTTTTTTTTCGACAGGTTTTTACGTCAATTAGCGCGCGAAATTTTACAGACACGTGTAGACCCGTTAATCGGTTGTTATTTCAGATAATAAAACATTGGATTCTGTTGTGCGAGAGAAGACGACGTGTGTATGCGTCGCACAACTCGAGTACATTATTGAGTCTAGCTGGATATGAATTTTGATTCGAATCTCCTGTTAATTTGTACTCGATGTTTTATTTCATACCGCACATATTGGGCCACACGATATAAGATTCGATAGAAATTGTAATTGAAATTTTTGTAGCTCGTGAGAATTTCATTAGCCGCCGTGTTATCTGAACAAATGTTTTATCGTCGCGAGAAATTCTTTCGGCGGCGAATTTAAAATTTCGCGCAATAACTGTGTGGGGAGAAAGAACGAAGGGAAAAATCCGCTTCGCAGTAATAATGCCGCGACCCGATTCACAGTCCTGAGATAATTTCGCGCTTGGTGGCAAAGGTCAGAATAATAGTCTGTCGCTGCATATTAAACGTCATTAAATTACGGGTGGCCGCCTTGGATTACCCCTTCGCTTACGCTTATAAGCCGCCTCGGTTTTACGAGCTAAGACGTACGGCCGCACAATGATGGCAGATAGGAAAGGAAGGATCGAGGGGGCGGATTATTCCGGTACTTAAAATTGCGCTTCTCCGCGATATCCCCGGCAATACTGCTCCGAGACGGATACGAATGCCGCGGATTTTTCTCCGCGATAAATGTAAAGCGCGACTTTCCATCCAACCGTGGCGCGAGACGATATGGACGGTCCTTTATAATTAAGCGAGCGACGTAATTGTCGTTGCATCATCACGTCATATATACGAATGTATTTTGGAATTAGACGGGAAATTGGCAGTAATTAATACGATCATACGTGAAATTAGATATATAACCATGGTGGATAATTATATTTTATTGTACCGCGTAATGTAATTACGTTAAATTTGCGCAACTGCGCGCGTTCATACTTTTCGGTTGATTTTGGCAAATTATCTATGTTCGCTTTTCTATTAACTTATTCATTAATTAAATCGTACGATTTAATTAAAGCGCAAATTATAATTAGATTCTTTCGCAATAGTGGATTATGTTATGGTATAGCTTTATATCAGTGATTTTGCAGCGTTATATGCCATATTATAGAAATATATTACTTTCATAATCGTGCGTTTACATTGTATTTCAACTCATCATTATTACATTATCAATTTAAATTGTAATAGTAAATCATAATACTCATATGGGCTAGCAAAATATCAAAATTATTAAACTTGTTCAAAACAAGTTTAATATATTTGAGCGTTATATGCCACATTATAGAAATATATTACTTTCATAATTGTGCGTTTATATTGTATTTTAACTCATAATCATTATATTATCAATTTTATAGTAAATTTTATATTTACCAGAATATCGGATCTATTTGAAGATTATGAAATTTATTATTAAATGTTAATGACATCATCAAAATATTCATGAGTTACTGAAGTATCAAAAACTAGTATTACCCTATCATAGATGAAGTATTATTAAACTTGTTTAAAACAGCTATATATGTATACAAGTATAATGTATAATTGTATATATAAATAAATTGTATATAAAATTGTATTGTAGCAAGGCGATGCTAAATATCTCTCTCTTATATATCTTTCAAAATTAATAGTTTATATGGTATTAACTATTCACTTGATTATTATTAACGCAAGAAACTTTGAGAGAGAGTTTCATTTCCCGCAGGGAAATCCGCGCGAGTGTCGGTGACTTATTAATAATCAAATACGATATGTATCATTGGTAGTTTAGAGACCGAAAGATAATTGATAATTGAAACGTCATTCTTGATGAGAAAAACAGAACTGTGTCTTTTCACGGGATAAAAATATACAGGATGTTTCTAAAACTGTGTCACAGATTTTAAGGGCGTTTTTAAGGGAGTAAAATAAGAGAAAAAGTTCCTATAAACGTGGGTCCAAAAATGCTTCCCCTTTGAATTATAGCCCTCTAAAGATGGGGGGAGATTTTTTCACAGATCGTTAAAAGTTTTTTTCTCGATTTGTAAAAAAATCTGCGAAAGCTACAATAAACATTTTTCGATTTGTTCACTCATCTTTAAGGGGATTAAAACTAGGAGGGAAAACATTTTTGGATCCATATTTATAGGAACTTTTTTTCTTATTTCGACTCCTAGAATACACCCTTAAAATCTTTGACATAGTTTTAAAAATACCCTATATATATATATATATATATATCGATAAAAGGAATGTTTTCTCTCGCCAAAGTAAGCGTCACGGATGAAGTTGAAGAAAAAGGAAGAAAGAGAATATTCGTGTAGAATTATTCGTCCTCGATAGAGAGACATCTGCGTCCGAATGTTCGCTCCGTTGTTGTTTCAAATATATATCGGGAGGGTGTATACATATACATATAGCGGCTCCCGTCGTACGGACCTGACATCTCCGACCGAAACTCCGCGCTACTCTACTCGCTCGCGTACGTCGCGTCGCGCGGCGTAACTTCCTCGATGAAAACTGCATTAGCGGAGTTACGGAGACGAAGGGCGGAGGCCTCGCTCGCACACGGAGCGCGCGCCTCGGACAGGTGCAGTGGCACGCATCGCGCGCACACGCGATCGCGACACGTGTTGTATGTTGTATGCGCGCGACGTTAAGGGCGAAGGCGGAACATCGGCAGACAACACACGGCACTTTCTCGCTCTCTCTCTCTCTATCTCTGCATTGTTTCGGCGCGGGCGAATTTCAACCCCCGTCGCGTCCCGTCGGGGCGAAATTCCTGTCAACTCCGTTCGTCGCCGCGTGCCGAGTTGAATAATCTCTCTCGGTCGTGTATTATCTCTCCCGTGTATATGTACGAAGTCTATGAACGATAAGCGAGCCTAATTTAAGGACGCGTGTGCGTTCGAGCGCCGCACGCGCGAGGATATTAAATTGGCACTGCTCTCCGGTGACTTTATAGGAATGCCTGTGAGAATACATTTTTTTTCTAATGAA